TATCAGGCATATATCGTTTTACTCTAATATATTGATGATGATGTATTTGTTGTAACGCAGAGCACTGTCCCGGCCTGAACATGCGTGGCTGGGATCTCCTTCTCCTGGTGGACGGTTCCCGTGAAGCGGCGTTCTCCCAGAACAAGGCGTTCGCGCGAGACCTGGTGGACAGGCTGCCGATTACCGACCAGCAGGCCACCAACATCGGGCTGGTGCAGTTCAGCGACACCACACGACAGGAGTTCCACCTCAACAGGTATTTTTTTTTTATTTACTTCATCGGTCACCACAAAGCAAGACTCGTGGGAGCCACTTAAAATGTTTTGGGTTACAGAACAGCCAGTTTTGACAGATATTTCTTGACCTTATACTTGAAGAGTTTAAGGTTATACTCATAAGGGAAGCAATCACGAGGTAGCTTATCCCAAAGTGATGTTGTTCTAGGAAAGACGCTTTCAGCGTGGAACTTCCTCCTAAGAGGTGGTGAATGGAGGAAGAAAGGGTGATTTGCTTCGGTGGAAGTGCCAAGACGTTTCTTTGTTGAAAATTTTCGAAGTTAGGGCACTAGCGAATGAACTATTTAAAAGCCGCTATTATCCAAACAGACCAAGACCCTCGACCTGTAGTTATCAAATTTTTAATGTTGATTCGTGTGTTCATTGTTGATTTTGTGACGTACGTATGTATTTTTGAATGATTTATTTTGTAAACAAACATCAGAATTCAGCCCTGTATGTCAAGGGTGCGAGATATGTTGTTGATATGTTGATACAAATAAACCAATAAATGCATGTATTTACTGTACATTTCTGTGCAATTTAATTGTTGGAGCCTTGGAAGATTAGCCAAGCTGTTTCGAAATAAATGAAAATAAAAACTATTGTATTATATGTATATATGTACTAAAAGTCAACGTTTCGGAATTGTTTGAATCCAACCTGAACTAACAAGGGAGTGGAGACTTGCGCTTTTAGTTTTTTTCTTTTGCTTTAATAAAAAAACAGATACTCCAGCAAGCAGAGCGTTCTGGCGGCCATCGACAACATGAGGCAGACCAGTGGCGGCAGCTTCGTAGGGAGTGCCATTGATTATGCCAGACTGGTATGTTTAAATAGAAGCTCTTTATTGTAAATTGATGCCCAAGGCTAATTGCAAACTGATACTCAATGAGTACAGGATGTACTGAGGAGGTATAACCCATATGCTAACATGAAGTCCTACGTACTACTAATTTAACTTTCTATCTCTATTCAAAACTAATAACGTATGTATATATGATAATGATAATCTTTTGTTTTAAAAATCATGCCCGAAGGCATGTTAAGTAAAGCAAAAGAGAACATACAACTGGGGTTAAGAATAGGTCACAGCAAAATAATAGTTTGCACGTTTAGGCCACATCAATTTATTTCCTTGGTTAACGGATTCGCCGCTTCGTTTTTTTGCCAAAATGAAATAAAAATAAAAACAGAACAAAAATCCATACTCTCGGGTCCCGAATAAACGTACCGGTACGTTTATTTTTTGGGCCCCAAAACCCGGTACGTTGTAATTTTCCAAAATTTGGGCATTGTTAAGAGCGTTAAAAATACATTGCTTCAAGGCAGAAACATTTTTCTGACTGCAATTTGTTCGGAAAGCTAGGTTGCCTCTTCAAAATTTCGTCAAATTCTTTTGATATAGAATTGGCCCCCCAGCCCCTTTGCACACGTCACCATTCATGGGACAAAACGTCACTGACGACAAACGTACGGCAGATTTACTAAGTCATCGTGCCTGTAACAACATATCAAATCTACATTCTCAAGATGAACTAGTTTTAAAGCCACTCTGAAGAGTATGGCGAGTCGAACCGATAAATTGTAAAACTATACTTTTATTATCAAAGGTTTGTCTAAAGTTGCGTGCGTAGTCCAGTAGTTAGCGACTCTGCCTCTATACCAAGAGGTCTGGATCGCATCGTTTTTGCTGCTTTTTCATTTCCATTTTAATTCAAAGTTGTTTTTTTTTACTATCCGATATAAATGACAACTGGATGATTGGATTATCCAGTTGTCATTTATATCGATATGAAGGGTGTAAAGATCTGAACGTCTCCGTTTCTTATGAAAAACTTAAACTGTTCTCCAACTCAAAACTTGACTCACCAGAAATTTTCGACTGAATCACTCAGTCTTCATCAGCTATCTGACCCAAATGCTGTGGACACGTGGTTTTCCCACGTGTGACGTCAGCAAAGGGTCAAAGGTTGTCTGAAGTCGATATCGCCCCCCGTCCCGGTTGAGCGATGGTTGAAGTGCCCTGATGTATATGGCCTCTTTTATGCCTCTCTTGAAGTAATCCTGTTCAGTATCCAAGATTCTGACCCCCTCCAGATCCACTTAGTGATTCAGTTGAAAATTTCTAGTGAGTCAAATTTTGAGTTGGAGAACAGT